TCTATTATATATTTTTTATCTAGCTTTTTTATGCTACTTTACTGTTATTATATACAGCTTACCTGTCTTGTGGTCTTAATGTCAAAAATAGAAAGATGTCTTGGAAAAATTATTTCACCTCTGGTGCCAATAGACAGCTGGCCCACAAGTTTTGGTAGAACTACCATTCTTGGAAAATTGTAAACAAAAAAATATGAAAATGTCTGTTTTCTAAGAAAAAAATAATATTGACTACGACTTTTGCCTGTAATGGCGTCGATCGGACTGAAAGAATGACAGATAGTAAAAATAAATTACGATGCAGACATCAACCAAATTCAGTCCTATGTCTTTATTGCTAACAGATTTATTTGCCCTTACATTAAGAACTACTACATCGTCACATCATCAGTTTTATTTACACCTCGAGACTTGGAGATTTCAAGTCCCTAGACTACGGTGGTACTCTTGTGGGTCGAGGGGGAGGGGGAGGGGGGAATGACTAGACTAGTGTCCGTGGACTAGGGGGCGAGCTCGGCAGCGACCTCCTACATGACGACGTTGTCGCGGAGCTCCTGGCCTCCGTCGGGCTGGGCGTCGGCTCTGCGAAGAGAGGAGTGCGATTAGCGACGGGTATCACGAGCCCACGAGCGAGCTCGTGCGTAAGGTTGGAAATTTCCAAAATTTTCCGAAAATTTTTCAAAATTTTCCGGAAAATTTCTGAAACAATCACGATAATTTCCTGCAAATAGCAGAAAATTTCGGAAGTCTGGGGAATTTTCCATTTTCCCTGGAAATTTCCCGGAAACTTTCCAGGGATTCCAATCACACTCGTGCACGCGTTACTCACGTGTACATATCCTTCCTCGGCGGCCGGAAAATGGACTTGGGGCAGTCCCGGAAGTAGGGCCAGCACTCGCCGTCGCCCGCGCCGGCGCGCTCGGCCTGCACGTACTCGGGCAGCAGGACGGCGAAGGGCGACTTGCTGGCCGTGAGGAAGAGGCGCAGCATCTCGCCGAGCACGCCGAGGCTGCGCAGGGACTCGGCCGAGCGGCCGTGCACCTCGCAGATGGCGCGCAGCAAGCACGCCTTGCCGTCCATGCCGAAGTTGTCGAGCAGGTCCTCGACGACGGCGTACAGCAGCGCCCTGCGGCCAAAACGGGTGGACATTGGCGGCGGCGACGTCGGGGAGCAGGGCCACACAACAGTCGACGGCGGCGTCTTCGTCTTACCTCTCGCCGCCGTGCAGGTTGAGCCCCGGCGGCTGCTGCGGCACGGGCGCTGGCGACCCGGCCTCCCGGGTCGTCCTGCGGTGCGACAGCAGCTCCCCGATGTAGTCGGCCACCACCTCGCCGGCCGTCCGCGACAGCGAGCGGCCCAGGATGGCGGGCAGCACGCCGTAAGGGTTCTCGTTGTCCGTCAGGCCCAGCTTGTCGAACACGACTGCAACAACAACAGCAACAGGTCAAGGTCGTTTCCGGCGCGTAAGGTTAGTTAAAAACCCGATTTTTTTCCCGGAAAAAGTACAACAAACTTTTCCAGAAGAAAATAGAAAACATTCCCAGAAAAAAAATAAAAATAAAACTCTTTACAAAAATTTTGCGAGATTACGAAAAAAAATTATCCAAAGTACTCTATGGGAAGAACAAAATTCCTATTCCGACGCAAGACTGCGCTGGGCTGCTGCCGCACTCACTGGTGAAGGGCAGGCTGATGGACATGTTGGAGAGGAAGCCGTCGGGCGGGTAGCGCACGAAGGGCATGCTGATGGTGGGCGTGATGGTCAGGGCGGTGCCCGGCGGCAGCGCGAGCCGACCGTCGTTGGTCACCCAGAGGAGGCGCTTCTGTCGCGAGTGCGCCGCGTCGTGCCCCTGCTGCTGACCCTGCTGCTGTTGCTGTTGCTCACGGTGGTCGCCGCCGACGCTCGCCGCGAGCCCCGCGACCACCAGGACCAGCGCCAGTGTCCGGGCCATGGCGGCGGCCGGCACGTCCAGTCTGCAACAAACCGGGAAACACCAATGATGCGGAGGTTCAGTGCGAGCGTTTCAGTACACCAGGAAGTAGTGTCCTCGCCAGTCGCCCGGCGGTGTCCTGCGGCTGAGGCGCGAGGACGCACGCTGGACGCCGCCGGGGAGGTAGGCAACGCATGACGCTTCGCTGCGGGGCGGTGGCCCGGCCGCCGACCGTGGGCGCATCGCGCAGGCAAGAGACGGGAACCGGCGCTCGCTCCTATCGGCTACCTGCCGCCGGTCCTGACGCTGGCGACAAGCCGCCTCTCTCACACCTCTTCATAATAATATTTTATGATGTATACATTTAACCGACATGCATGCCAAGGAGGGCGCCCCGACCGACCGGGGCGCTCAGTCCCCCCGCTCTTCCCCGCCCGGCCCCTCCCCTCCCCTTCCCGATCCCGTTCACAATTACACACCAGGAGCTTTTCGCCAAAATTATACGACTGTCCCTCCTCGCTAAAGTACCGGGACCGGGTTATTCGTTTGGCGCAGATTGGTCGTCTGATCACGTTGAGGAAATATGTATGGAGCGCGGCTTCATCTTTGGACGGTGGGATTGAGCGAGGGGGGGGGGGGGCACCCCCCCAGACAACGCCACCGTTCCGGCAGTTGTCGGCACCCGTCCCCCGGGTTGCAGACGCCATACATAAGGTATTCTCGTCCTAACCCAGTCCCCCCAGGTGGGTTTGCGGGTGCCCGCCGGGCCGCCGGTCGAGACGACGCCTCCGGCGCCGGTCGGAACGTCGTCGCCATTCTCATTCTGTTTGGTATTGTTCGTAACCCCCTGGCCCCCCTCCCCTCCCCTCCCCTGCCACTGCCGCACAGGTGCCCCCTTGACATGTTTCCAATTTGTCCCATCGGCCGAAGAAGCGGCTGACGCGATGGAGGGCCGTCCGGGAGCCGCGCCCGCGAAGGACTCGGACAGACAGACACACGCACATACACACACACACAGACCGGCTCGACGATTCCCTCGCAAAACACTGCTCCCCCTGCCGCTAGTCCATCTTCTTTGACATGCCGGCGGACGGGAGCTCGGCATGTCGTCGTCGGCGTGGCCGAGCCAAACGTAAATAATGTAGGTCGTTTTGGCCACGTCCATTTTTTCTTGTCGAGTTGACGTCATATCACGCGGGCCATTAAAGTCTTGATCTTTCATCATATTTTTGAAAATCGGTTTGGTTTTGAGATTTTCTTTTACTTTACACAATCAGCGTAAAATTCTAAGACAAATATAATGTCCCAGTTCTGCCCATGACCGTGATCGGTAGCCTAGTAATGGAGAGCTACTAGACAGACGCTATCTGTGCATCGCGATCACACCAGCCAGTTGCAGCAGCAGCAGCAGCGGACGTACGCTAAGGAAGAAGGAAACGGGCATATGTTAACGTTTACGCAAGATTGATGTCAATCTGTTCACCTAATGGTCATCAATCTTACGTCAAACTGACGTGCCTGCCATCATTTCTCACCCAGATAACGCATCAAGGAGCTAGATCAACGCCGTCGCCAAGATCGACGCCGCCGCGGCCTGCCTAGGGCCGCTGGGCTGGGGCGAGCTGGAGAGGCTGCCACCTGCAGCCAGGGGGGCGACGACGACGACGCTGGCCTGGAATTCCCCCGCCGCCGCACCGAGTGACGCAGGAGGCAAACTCCAGGAGACGAGCCGGCTCGCGGGCTGCGCGCGCGCGCGAGCGCGCATTCTCCTGCTGCTGCTCCTCGTCCGCACCACACCGGCGCACTGCTTGGGCTGCTGCTGCTTGATGTTTAATGGATGGCGGGCATGTGTCGCGGCGGGCGGGCGGGCGGGCGGTACACCCGGAACACCTGGAACACCCGGAACACCGGGAACACGCCGTCCGGGAAGGCGACCCACAGAGTGTGCGCGACTGTAACGGTATCGAACGGACGTCGTCGTCATCGTCGTCCAAGAAGAGCGAAACGGGCGCGTATCGTCGGCGAGTCCATGTGTTCGAGATTCGAGACGTTGCAGGTGGACGGAGCTCGGCCCACAGACCGTCCTGGGGCCGGCGCGCTTCCGTACTGCTGATGAGTGTTTACTATTTCAGCAAACATCGCTTTTCCCCTACAGCAATCTTTATAGAACTTTTTCTTTTGCTTGTCTGGGTAACTTTGCTACGACCCCACCACCCCGATAGCGAACTTATCGTTTGCACGGGCCGCGTGTCCGAGTAGTGTCCCATCCCAAGCCCAGCATACAGTGGCAGAGCCCCGCCGGACTGGCGACGCGCCAGGCCCGCCGCCGCCGGCGACCCGGCGCGGGGACAGCACGGCGGCGGCCCCGCGGTGCTGGTGGACGCGCAGGCCCGCCGCCGGGACAGCCCGGCGGCCGCTGTCCGCCGGGCTAGTGGACAGCACAGCGCCCTGTCCTCCAGGCGGGCTCTCGTATCCCCGTTAGATTCATTACTGATTCACACTCCAATCTGGACACGCACTCCCCGGCGACGCGACGGCGGCGCGCCGCGCTCACGCCCGCGTATAGTAGTGCATCAGCCGAGCGCGGCGAGGGAGCCTCCCATGGAGGTCATCGCGGAGGTGTGTGGCCACAACAACGACACCGACGGCGGCGGGTGCGCGCGTGTACGCCGTCCAGCGCGAACAGCGCCCGTACGGGCCTGCTCGCCGGGCCGGGGCCGGGCCGTCCCGAGCGGTGTGGGCGGGCGAGCGCGTGTGTGCTGAGCTCTGCGTTATTGTTTATATCGTGAACTACTTTGCGGGGAGCGGTGAGAGAGGGAGAGAGAGCCGGGTCGTTCCGGTCGGTTCCGGTGCACTGCGAGGTCGTCACCGACGTCATTCCCTTTGGCGCGTCGTCGATCTTAGTGCCGCCCACCCCCCACACACACACTTTTCTCGCACATGAGTACCGTTGCGGCGAAAAGCACGTCACCCGAAGAATATGGCTTACTCCCCCCGCTCGCAATCGAACAGCTCGGGGGTACTTCTCGCGGAAAGGCGCGTTTTTCTGTTCTCCTTTTCTGCAGCGACCGGCTTCACCGCGTGTGCAGTCGCGCGTGTGCGGGGGTCGCGAACCCACGCGCGGGGCCGCGAGGCGCCGCGGTCAGCGAGGGTAGGCAAACCCGCGCGACACGCCGGCTCTGCGGTACAGCATGACCAATTGGGTGGGCGGGCCGGGCTGGGGCGGGGGCCCATTGGCAGAGCAGGGATCACGCGCAAGATATACTATGTGACGCATCTTGCACCCACCCATCCTCTGCTTTCTGAACTAAATTTCGATTTTATATCGCGACCCGCTACACTCAAACGGTTTGAGCCGAAGACCGCCTTCTCTTTGGGTCAAAAGAAATGTTTGGATCCGATAACGTAACATCCCATAGTGAATGGCGGCAAGCAGGTCGACGTGGTCCCGCTGCTGATCGTGCTGGAGCCTGGCCCGGCGGGGGGGGGGGGGGTGCTCGTTGGTATCTGTCTGTCCGCACGGCGCGATGGGCAACTCAACCGGTTAGGCTGCATCCGCGACAGGGCGAGGTGGGGCGGGGCGCGGCGCGGCGGAACACCAGAGCGATGTCAACCTTCCTTCCCGAAAGCCCTCTGGTGCTGTTGCCCCCACAGCGCTTCACTCCGGGTACAATCGCCCTTTGCTTCCTCCAACAGTCGCCGCTCCCACCGCGTCGGTGCGGCACAAAATAGTTAGCCGAGGGGTCCTTCACTCAAAAAAATCAGTGTACACCCTTCGAAAAAATAACGAAAACATCACAAAAAATCATTAAAACATCATGAAAAAATCATGAAAAAATCATGGAAAAAACATGAAAAAATCATAAAAAAATCATGAAAAGTGAGACAAAAATCAACGAAAAGTCAGAAAAAATCAGAAAAATCAGCAAAATTAGCAAAATATGAAAAAATCAAGAAAAACAGAAAAATCGGTGTACACTAGCATTTATAGTGAAGGACCCCTCGTAGTTAGCCCCTGCACGCCTTCATCAGCTCGCGTGCCACGCGCCGCCGCCGCCAGATCCGGGGAGAAGATGCTGCTTATCCGGGCGACGCACACTCATCTTGTAATGCGAGCCGGCTGATGGAGCGGCGTGGAAGCCCGTAAACGACCCTGGCAGACGACGACGGCGGCCCCGAACGACTGGCTGCTCGACGTCAATCGATGAGGACCAAGTACCTTCCGCGCCGCCGTGGAGCCCCAGATAGAGTCCGTCGGGGGATCATAAAACGTCATCATTAATTAAGTCATTTTTTTATAAACCGAAATGTATCCACATTCCGGTTTTGAGCCGGTTGTGTGTCGGGGACTGGTGCGCTTATTACTTTGTCGGCCCAGCCAGTCGTGGGACGTTCACACGTTCCCGAACAAATTTTGAAATGCACAATTAAAGGAACGAAAACGCTACGCGAATAGATGGTTGAACAGTTTCGATTTACAGTTTGGTGGATTTGAACTTGTTGCCTTTGTTTCTGGACAGTGTCCTTTCTCGGGCCGCCAGGTGGGCTCGGGTGGGCATGGTGGGCAGGCCGGTGGCAAGCCTTGCGCGCGTGCCTCCAGTGTGTCGCTGAGCCCATGCCATGAGGGGAAAGGGGAGGGGGGGGGGGGGGCAAGCCCTTTAAGGGACGAACGACCTGACCGGAAATACCGAGCGTCGAACGTTAGGCCCAGTGGTCGAAAGCCGCGAAATTGTCACACTGCCCAGTCACAACGTGCTTTGTCTTGTTTTTTTCCTTCGTCCTATTGTCAATATGTTTCACGCTACAGTAACATACAAATTAGTTGTAGATAGAGTGTAGGTATATTTCCAATAATAGGGATCCTGTTACACGGCAGCCTGTCTCTAGAACCCCCCTTCCCCACTCTTCACGCACACTTTATTTTCCCCATAAACCGTCTCTCTCTCTCTTTTTCTCTCTGGTTTGAACGCTTGTGTGGATTGTATGTAAAGGGGCCACCACCACAGTCTACACAACACCGATGCGCTGCGGGCCGGTCTGGGGCGGAGGGGACCACGACGGGTCAGCCGACTTCCTCGCGCGCTCTAGGCGTCGTCTAGCCGGCGCGCGCACTTGCGCCCTTCGAGTGTGACGCGCGTCGCACCGGGGCCTAAGGTGAGGAGAAGGGGACGACACTACTTAGAAAGTGGTCCTGGGCTTAACCTCTCTTCTTGTCCGAATCGCACCACAGGCTGTTTGTGTGTGTGTGTGTGTGCGCGCGCGCGCATGTGTGAGTGAGTGGTGAGCAGTGTTGTGTGCCCTTTCCCCCCTG